AGACAGACAGACAGACAGACAGACAGACAGACAGACAGACAGACAGACAGACAGAGAACAAGAAAGAGAAAGAGAGGGAAGAGGGAGAGTGAGAAAGAGAGAAAGAGAGAGAGAGAGAGAGAGAGAGAGAGAGAGAGAGAGAAAGAGAGAGGGGGGCGGGTGATTATAGGTATCAAATGGTTACATACAATTGAAAATGAGGGACGAAAACGAGTAAAATAGCGGTGGAAGAAAGTGGGACGAAAACGGGAAGTGAAACGAAGGTGTGGGACGAAAATGGGTGCAAAATGCAAATGTGGGACGAAAACGTATTGCATCGAGACTATCGAAAGTAGGACGAAAACGAGTACATAGGCGAGGGCCCCACATAAATTTGTTTATTTTCCCCCTCTAGTTAAGCCTCAGGTAGTCATAACAATACATTCCTGCATGACAATGTGGACTCTCTATGCTGATGGTATTACTTACTTTACTTTTTACTTTTTCATCCTCTGTTGTCGTTAAGAGTCGAGGGGAGATGCAGTTTTCTAAGGCAAACCAGCTCTGCAGCTCTTTTAATTGAGATATTGTAATTTCTCAGGGTTTCTTTGACTCCCTCAATATATCTTTTGCGTGGTCTACCTCTTCCCTTATAGTCTAAGTATTTGATGTTATAGGCTCTCGAGGCTTCCTGGCTATGTAACCTTTGCAACAGGTGGCCAAACCATGTTATTCTGTTTTTCTATGAAATGCAGGCAGGACTCAGTGCAAATAGTGGCTGTTACTTTTTCATATCTATACTTGTCAGGGGTTTTGCGGAGACATTTAATCTCGCACGCGGTAATTTTGTTTTCATGTTTTTTTCCTAAAAGCAAAATTAATGAAACATGTGAAGTTAGTTTACTAATCTAAAATTTTGATTTTAAAATCAACACCCCTAACCACCCTCCCCCCCCCCCAAAAAAAAAACCCCAACCAAAGCAAAAGCAACTAAACTTTGGTACAGATCCTAGGCCTAACCTATAAATACACTTCGTGAGGTGAAGGTATGATAATGGGCATTGTGAAGTTTAAACCGACCATTGATTATCGAGGCAGAATTGAAACTGTGTCCATTTCTTCAGAGTGAAATATTAGAGCCAGGGTCCATAATTTTTTTTTCGGTGTGTGAGTTTAAAAAAACAAGCCTCTAATCAATTACCACGATACTTTTTCGGTCTTCAAAATGCGTGAACTTGTGGTTTGCACTAGCAGGCAATTAAATACAAGCCTTCAATCATCACCACGGTTCCTTTTTGATCTGTTGAATGCTCAATTTTGTGACTTGAAGGTTTTCAAAAACAAGTTTTTCATTATATACAACGATTTTTAAAAAATCTATTAAGTGAGTTTGTCGCTTGCACTTACAGGTTTCTATTTTTTTTTAAGTCTCCAATTATTACTACAATTTTTTTTAAATCTGTCAAATACGTGATTTTGTGGCTTGTTACTTATAGGTTTAAAAAAACAAGCCTCCATGCTGTCGACTTACCATGGGCTTTGCTCTGACCGACTTCGCCGCCTCGTGGTGAGCTCTGTGTGAGATCTGAGCCGAGCGGTGACCGATGCGCTGAGTCTCCTGGCGTGACGTCCCAACTGTGTGGGCAGACACGGGCGACAGAGCCAACTGGTGAAGGTAGGAGCTCACGACAGCCGACAGGAGGGAGAGCTGTACCAGAAACAGCAGACAGCAACAGCGCCGCAACATCACAGAGTCCTGGTCCTGTGAGAGGAGACGTTGGAAAGTTAGAGGAGGCAGAGGAGGAGGAGGAGGAGGAGGAGGAGGAGGAGAAGAAGAAGAAGAAGAAGAAGAAGAAGAAGAAGAAGAAGAAGAAGAAGAAGAAGAAGAAGAAGAAGAAGAAGAAGAAGAAGAAGAAGAACAAGAACAAGAACAGCAAGAACAACAAAAACAACAAGAACAACAAGATCGAGAAGAACAAGAACAAAAACAAGAAGAAGAACGAGAAGAACTGCATGAAAATGTGGACATTCTGCACTGATTTTACGAAGGCAATATTCTGATAATTTTGGAGTTAGATTATTTCATCTTGCTGTCCCCGTAGTACCCACACCAAGAAATTTCTGCATAGAACGTTAATGTGGACACTCTACGCTGATGTTGTAAAGGCAATATCAATGATAGATTTAAAGTTCGCTCAAAAACGGTGAAATGGTATATGCGTAACGCCTCTATCAACACGATTAGGTTAGTTAAGAGGCAGGACCTCTGAGTTTAACGTCCGTCTCCGAAAGGACCGAGCCAAATGGGAAAATCGTAAAAAGTGCCTTTCCCAAGGACACAACGTCGGACCGAACTGAAGCTCGAACCCCCGAGCCAGCAATCTCATGACTACAGGTCCGGTATCCAAACCCCTAGGCCACCGACGCTACTCTGAAGATCGTTGTTTACCTGATAAATTCATCATCATCCAGTGCCAGAACTACGGCAGACATCGGCGATCATGGTTCTCCCTTCAATCCTTTGCTCGGATGAAGCCACATTTCCCTGACCTTTCCCCGTTACCCATCTGTTTAGGTACTTGATAAATTATTCGATCTAATACTATCAATCACCTGTCTTCGGCTGTGGGTGGCTGGAGGGTGTCCTGAAGACTTGCTGTGTCCGAGCGTCGCTGACCGGCGCTGCTGCAGTTGTGTGTCTGAGGGCGTGACACGGACATCGGGGGGACAACTGGGCCTGGACATGGGTCAGAGGGAAAGGGAAAGGGGAGTTAACTCTTTGAGGGTGTAGCGGACACATTATATTGCTATCCAAGGATTGAATAACAATGTTTTATCTGCTAAGTACCTTGTTTTGAGAAACCTGACGTTAGAACTCTTCAGTTTTAAAAAAAACGGCAAGTTTTATTTTAATGCAATTCTTTAAATATCTTCAGAATATTCTAAAGATTGTGATAGAGCAGGTGGGGCTTGGTTTCTGTCCTCGTGGTCGTAGGTATTCGAAAAGGCAAAAAATGTTAAGATAGACCTTTGTAAATTAACGTAAAAATATTTTCGCGATCAGCAGACCAAATGCAAGCTGCAGCATATTTTTCACCATCATACATAAAGCTGAAATCCAACTTTGTATGCGTCGTAGTGAGAGTTGTTGCCTGCCTTTTTTAGGTTTCATGCAAATATCATAGAGCTTAAAATGTGTATTATTAAGGAATTTATGCTTCTTATTAAATATGGCCCCAAACAGGGCCTCGAATGACCAGAAAGCACGTCTTCAATGGGTTAAAAGAAAGTGACCATTACAGTTTGTTTGTTTTAGTAAACGATTTACGGCATTTGCAGTAGCAGTTTGTAATATAAATGCCGAAGTTAGAGGTGTTACAATAGAGTGACACACACACAAAGGGCAAAAGATAAAGACAATCGATTTAATATAGGAAAGAAGGAACAAACCCCACAAGAGAACCCACCAACCACCCATAGTTTGGTCATATAAGTGCCGAAGAATAGAGGCGTTATACGGGGGTAAGAAACACAAAAAGAAGAAGGGGCGATAAGAACGATAGGCGTTTGGTAGCAAAGAGGAACAAACAACACCAGAACACACACCAACCACGCGCACTATTACAATTT